TAAAAAGCAGAGTTTTCTTTTAAGGGAAACCAAAGTATTTAGCAACTCAGGAAAGTGTGAAACCAATTGTTGTGTTTCCCTGAAAAGCAGTAAAGACACACAGTGGATGAAATGAGAAGTGCTGGTCCATTAGCTCGCCCATGGATGATCTGGTCAGGAAGTCACTGGCAAGAGAGTTGTGGGACGCTGGCATGCTCACTGGAGCTCATACTTAGTGATAAGGCAGGCCAAGGCACAGACTTTATCTACATTACAATTCCTTGACTTTTTTCTTAGAGGACTAGGGAGTGAGAGTTACAGAGCAATATTGCTTTTCTATAAGCAGGGGTTAACACAAGTGCAGTTTTCACTAACATACATAATTTAAATGCATATTAAATGAACATTTTACAAGCATTAAAAGGCAAACCAATGTTAAGTCATAATTAAAAGCATACAATTTAAATTCAAGAATGTTAATGTTGTACAGTGCACTACTAAGACTTTATTTAGAATATTGTGTACAATTTTATTTGCCACATTATAAAAAAAAACATTATTGCTCTGGAATCAGTCAAGAGAGGAGCAAACACATTAATTTTTTGCGGTAAAGAAATTTCTCACACTGGCAGGCTGAAGGAACGGAACATTTTCAGTGTTGAATAGAGTAGAATATGTGACATGAAAGAAGTATTCAAAATCCCGAAGGACTTTCACAAATTCAACACAGTGAACCTGTTCAGAATTAAGAGTGACTCTGGAACCAGGAAATACAATTGGAAACGCTATGGTTGTGTATTTAAAACTCAGACAACTATTTCTTTACACAAATGGATGTGGGAGTATGGAACAATCTACCCGAAGTTTTTGCTGAAGGCAATACCAAGCTTCTTTTAAGAAGTTGCTGGATCAGATAATTAGATCAATTACTTTTAACTACTAATGATCTAGATAGCCCAAATGGCCTGTTATTTGTAAAAATATGTTATAATATATTACACATACTGATATATATGTGTATTACATACAGTATATATATAGATTTTAATTGCATGTATTTCATATTATTGTTCAAAAAGATAATACCTTTGTTCCCATAATTATATCTATTGCATTTTTATATGTACTGTACAGATTTCACGTGGAATGTGCATGGACAAATGGCTTTGTTTAAAAAAAACTACAAAATGTAATAAGCACAAATATCAAAACAACAAACAGTTTTCTCCTAAAATATAAAATGAATGTCTTTCAATATATTGGTTGCATGGCAGGACTGACTTTCAAAGAGTTAAAAGTGTTATATGAAGAAAAACAAACCTTACAGCCAATGGCAGATCCCTTAAGGACACTGAAGCAAAAAAAAAATTGCTAAAAGGAGGACCGTTTCAGTCCCTTTTTAATGGTGTGTCATGAATCCAGCGATAGAGTGTGTGGATTCTCATTTTGTTTGACAAATTTCTTTTGTGATGTGAGAAACTAGTGCTGTAATTTTCAATACAATCAATATTAATGGCTGGAAGTGAAGCCAATGAAACAGCTGGATTCCTTTTGCTGGGTTTAGTTTACAGTAGCAAAGTAAGGCATGTCATAATTCCTTTTCAAGTCATTGTCTTCATCATTGGCTTTTTAGCAAACAGCATGGTCATTCATATTGTTTCTACAAGGAGCTCAGTGAGAAATCCGAAAAATGTCCTTATTTCTCACCTTTGCTTGGTTGATCTTTTTGGACTCCTAACGTTCTCGCCTTATTTTATCACCAGATTTTCCATGTCTAGCACAGAACCCATTACTTTGAATTGGTGTCTCATACAATACTACTTCTTAAATGTCTTCACCTGCATTGGGTTGTGGATGGTGATATTCATGGCGATTGATAGGTTTGTTGTGATCTGCTACCCTTTCGACTATGAGATGAAAGTCTCCAATGACCGCGTCCATAAGTTCATAGTAATCTGCTGGGCTTTTGCCATTGTTTATCCCATGTTTTATATTTTCCCCTTCGTGGGTCATAAGCCCTGCTATCTTATTACTTCTAGCAGCTTTCTGTGCACAGGGGCTGCCTTGGAGGCTAGCCCATGTACTGTGTCTATCTCGGTCTTTCCCAGATACTACAGGCTTTTCATGATTGCTATACACTTAGCAGGTGGCCAAATAATTGTTGCTGTCTCTTACATGAAAATTCTGAAGGAGTCCCGCAGTGCTCGTCTCACTGAAGCATCAAGGAAGGCAATGTACACTGTTGTCACACATGGCATTGTGCTGTCAATTTTCTTTGGGAATGCCTATTTGTTGTTTGTGACTGGCAGCTTGGAAATAAAGGACCCGGAGAAGAATACTGTCCTCACAGGTATCCGTCTCTCAGCTGATCTGCTGTATTTGAACATTCCTCCAACCCTAAACCCCATCATTTATGGCCTGAGGAATGAGGAAATGAGAAAGGAGATTTTCAAAATGCTGAAGAGGAAACCCAAGATCAAGCCTGCTGGATCATGATTAAAATAAAATTTATATTTTTGGAAGCCCTTCCAGGTGTGTTTAAAGGAGGTATTTTAACTGAAATGTTTACTCCCAAATAAAATATCAATAGAAGTAGATCTTGCTAGTTGTAAGTCAGTCTCCTTTGAAAACCTTGTCAACTTTAAGGGAGATACAGTAGTTGTCTTATGTTAGTTAGTTCTGACATTCTAGTGAAAGTAAAATGCTGTTAAAGCTTTCAATGTAACTTGTGATATGAAACGTAAAAATAAATAACAAAAGGAGTGTTTGTAAGAGTGCTGCATTACAACACTCAGTTAAGAGACCCTAATCATTTTTCTATTTTAGTCATAGAACTAACTAAAGCTTTTATAGATTTTAAGGAGATTTTCAATACAAAAGTGACGAGGCTAAATTAAAGATTCCAATTAAAATATAGAAAAGATAGGCACAGAAAATAAAATTAACATTTTTCACTTAAACATAGTTTTGTGATTTTAGTTGTGCACTGTTTTAAGATAAAACATGGAATGATATTGCCCTGAAATAACATAGTTTAAAGTTTAAATCGGTTGATAGAAAAAGCTCACCAATATTAATAATGCCTTTCTGTGTGACATTAAGGCAATGCAATGTATGAGAATTGTTTAACAAACTTTGCTTAATGTGTTCAGTATCTTTTTTTGTACATCACTGTCTACTTTGTCAGAAATATCAGAACTTTGCTTGTCTTGTTTCATGTTTTTCTCTTCTTTGTATTGTTTAATATTGCCGGTTTATGCAACCTCATTACTTCCTACACCCATACTTTTACTACAGAATTAAAAATATGACTTTTAATTGTAATCCTTTTTAATATATTGGAAAACGAACTGAGGGAATCTGCTTGTGCAATAATAGCATTGTATGACATTCCCTGGTTGTCAAGATAGTAGAATAAGACAGAATAAAGTAATGCATCTTATCACTTAAAATACTGGTAAGTAAAGGGAAAGCAAGAGAAGCGTTTTGTGTATGCTTTTACTGATTCAATAGGATAATACATTTAAAAAGTAATTGAGGTTCTGCACCATGAAGCATGAAACTACAAAACATTTCTTTCCATGAATTCCAGTGTATTTTAAAACATATATTCCTTTACAGCAATGCTATGAGACAAGAAAGATCATCATGTTGTTCATGAGCTTCATTTGGCTTTGGTATTAGATTTCTTTCAGTTGTGTTACTTTGCTGACTAATGGTTATGGATGCTACCCTTGAAATATATATTTAACACAAAGAAAAAAAGTAAAGATAATTGTCTCTAGTTCATGCGGCACATGAAAAGAGTATGTTATGTGACACTCCAGATGTTAGTTTAAATCCATTTAGAAAATAAAAAGATGATTCATGCTTGTGTCTTTCTGTGTATATTCTTGATCAAAGATAAGAAAATGCTTTCTCTTCTTAGAGTAATTTATTTTATAGTTGTACAGTAGATAAAACTGATTAAGTATCTGTACTGCACATATGGAATGTGGATAATGAACCTTCATACTGTATTAATTTGAGATTTCAATGCTTTATGTGTAGTTTTGGGCATAAAAAAACAATTTAAAACCAGATTAGGTCAAATTAAGTTCATAATGCAATCTTTTCTTGGTAGCTGGGCATACATTTTAAGTTTAAAAACTCCCTTTATTTAGATACATCTCAAATATTGTTAAAAGGAAGATTAGGTGTTGTCCTGTGTGTCAATTTCTAGATCAAATATGTATTGTATAAAGAAATCGAATGCATGACTTTACTGTACATTATTTTCTTAGAAATCCAACTAATTTCTAATTCATTCTCCTGTACCTTAATATTTAACCATAGTAAATCTTTCCTTCAGAATTTTAGTTTTAAAAGGGTGTTCTTTGGTACTGTAAATCCTAAAACATGGCTTACCCCAAACATATATGAAATCTTTCCTCGCAAAACAATCCATGTAATATTCAAATTACTCTGGTAGCAGGGAGATGGTGGGAAATGTTTTGGCAGATGTGTCAAATACAGTGTTGTTCATTGTCAAGTCTAGTTTTGTCATGATTACTACCTTATACTTTAACGAATTAGCCTTAAGCAATCAGCACTTTTGGCTTTACCTCAATGTTGAACCACTTAGAAGAATGTGTTTCATAGACACTGTGAATTTCAAGATAATAATGAAAGTTATATCCCGAAAATATGGAATTTTATTTGCCTTGGTCATGACAAAAATAACAGTAGCTTAATAAGATGCTGCTTAGAAAAGTACTGGGGCAGTTCTAACAAGTCTGCACTAATGAAAAAATGAAATTTAAAGAGAATTACTTTAAGTAGATCAGCATGCAGTTCTTAAAAGTGCTGTTGTTTTATCGTTAGAAAAAATTAATTTTTAAGTGGCTGTGACATAAGGGAGTAAATATACTGTATAGGACTACAATTCAGTAATATTATTATACCATTACATCAATTGAATTTCTAGTTCAGAGCATGAAATATTAGTTCTGGTTTACATGCACACACACAAAACAACACAATTGAATTCCATGCACGTTTTATTGAACAGTAATATAAAATACTTTTCATTGTTGCAAGTGCATGCTTTATCTGCCAACAGTTTAGAAGTCAAATTACAAAAGCAAGGCTTCATGTTGTAGTGAATTACTTGGGCACTTATACAGTTGTTAAAAAAGATCAATGGACTTTTTCTTCTCTTTAATTTTAAAGTATGGAGCAGTAATAAACCCGTAACTGATATACAAAGCAAGAGAGTTCCAAAAATTATAATATTAATTAATAATAAAATTACATTTTTGTGGCACATTACAGAACAGAACAAAAATGACTAAACCATTATATGACACTAACAGCTATCATGCATTTTGAGTTCCACATGTAACCACAAACTTATCTCACAATAATCGCTAAACATGCTAATTGAACTACATGTGCACTTACAAGCATATGTTAAAAATATGATGAATCCTCTCCCATCTTAAATATTTCAATGCTTTAATTACAAAAAGGTTGAAGGCATTAAGCAGTATCATTAAGTGAATATAAAGAATGGCGGTATACATTTCCAGTATATATCCACTAAGCGCATTACAGTCCCAAACAGGCTTCTGCAGCCAAGTTTATTTATTTAGTTTTAGAAAACATGCATAGGCAGATTCTTTTATTTATTTGTTTTTTTTTTACATAATATAGATGCTTTTCACTGAACCTTATATGGTGTTTTTTGTTCACTATACTTAAAAAATAAAAAAAATACCACTCATAAATATAGAATTCCAGCAAGCCACAACCAACAGTTCTATCCCCCAACAAAATAAAACAAACAAAAATATCTGCAAATAATAGATGAATGTAATTCCAGTTATTAAATTTAAAGAATAAAGGTATTCATTGCCAAGTTAATTAGCCATTATACAGAAAGTAGGGCCAAGCACACACTAAATAAACCTGAGGTAAGCATAATCTGTACAAAACCATTAAACTTTCCTTTTTGGCATTTTAACAATTTTGCAACATTCTTTTAAGACTGCCTAATTTACTTCAGAGCTATTTTTATGACAAGAGTAGCAAAAAAAAAAGTTATCAATAAATAGTCCTTAGTTTGTACACCATTATTTGTTAAAAATGTTTTTATTTCTTAACGTTCTGTCCATTTTTAGTGCTGTATTTTGTAAACGTACAAGAGTTAGTAAGAAGTTAGACAAAGTTTCCATGTCCAGTAATAGAGTAAAGGCCTTTCAAAACATTACCCATTAAGTTTTCCCCAATGCAATACATGATCAAGTATATCCCCAAGATTCTTAAAATAGTTAACCAGCAATAACTTTTCATGTTACTACAAGCATTAAAGGCATATCCAAAGAACAAGAAATGTCACCCACCAAATAATGTTTTATCTTTCTCTCTATAGTTCTCTCTCTACCCCCTAATCACTCACTCTCTGTCCCTCGATTCTGAAAACCCGGTTCCCCACCCCTCAACTCCTTTGCAAGCTGCTTCAGAGGCAACAACGTCCCAGCTGCTTTTTTGGCAGCCATTCTTACATGCCTTACAGCCTTCAAACCAGGAGCCCATCACTGGATGTTGCTGCTACTACTGCCCTTGCTGTCAGTGCCATTGGTCTCTGAGGAAATGGCCTTGTTGAGGGAGTTGAGGCTGCCATCAGTGGGCATGGCATCCTTGCGTGGAGGCATTCTCTCGTTGATGCGATCCAACCCTTTGGCTTCTTCAAAGCTCGTGATCTTATGCTGAGGCGAAAAACCTTTGATGGCTGAAGGAGAAATGAAAGAAATGAGAAAAATGCACCCATTACCATAGGGCCATATGTGTTTTCACTGTTATTCACTGACAAGAAGACTTTCTGACAGGAAACAAAAGCAATGTGTCAATTTAACGTTTTTAAAGTTATATTTGAAGTTTAAATCAAAATGCTTTTTATCTTATAGGCAAGCACATACACCATTTCTTTATTTAAAAGACTGATTTTTAAGCTGTTGGTTGATAATCCATAAAAATACAATGTGCTCACAGAACAATAGGCAGCTACAGTATGTAGTACATTTAGTATTGCTGCTTGGACAGCGTTCTTTTTCGTTCTTAAAAAGTAATGCTCTCCATAGTTCTTTCTTAGTAATACCTAATATGAAACTGGCACACATTTTGAATTACTATGGGGAATAAAAGCAATATTTAATGGGCTATTTTGCTTTTAAATAAGCAATTATCTAGACTTCAGTTTTATATCCCGGAGGGCCTGATACAATGTTTGAAGAAATGTAAGAATGACACTGCAAAGCATGAAGAAAGAGGGTAGATGAAGAAAGAAGTGCCAAGGAAGTTTGAGCTCGAAAGTCAGGGAAGCTCTCTGCTGCCTAGACATCGGAGCTCACATTGATCTACCAAACACATTTGCAGCATGTTCCAAGTTAATCGAAACTTTTTAACTTAAGCTTTTTGCCAAATTCTACTAAGGTGCTCTAAACAAATCTGCATTTCAATGGCCCACCATTATCTTTAAAATGTATTTAGAGTATAGTTTTAAGAAATGTTATGATCTCCCGACTGTAAAGAGAAAGCCAGTAAAAATGTTTTCTGATCATAGGTACTGGCAGTGTTGAACACATCAGTGTTTATCTCTAAACCAAATATTTCATTATTTCACTGATGTAAACAAATGATGACAAATATGCTTTACAGCTAAACAAAACTGACTTTTCACCACATTTTTTAACAATATATTAAGGTTTACATTTATAGTTCACTAGTTTGAAATAGAATACGAAATGGTTCAAATTGGCTAGGCATCAATTACATTAACAAAATAAATTCATACTGTACAAATTGTTTGCCCATTGAGAAGAAGCCTAACGAAATCAGTTTGTGGTACACAGTAGCAGTGTCTTTAGCTACAAAATATAGTAATAATTACTATGTGGGTAGAAGGAATGAGTTAATTTTCAAAGATCCACAAATACCAACACATTAAAACTGTCAGAGATGTAGTATGGTGTGGGAATATTAAACAAAATACTTGGTGCTAACCACTTGTTTTGCCTGCTTTAAACATGCAGCAAATCACTAGCATATAAAAAGCTCTAATATCAGTTCTGGATAGAGAGATTTTCATTTTAACAAATTCCGATCTAAAAACTAATCTTTATATTGTAGAACAGTGTGTTGCTGCATAGTACAGGTCAGACACAGGTTATTAGCAGCTCACATTTATAACACAACACAGCAGAGTCACAGGAATCACATGGAAAAGCAAAAGGTTTCAACACTGATGCACACTGTAGATTAGAATCAGTTAGAAGGAATTAATCAGCAATTCCAACATAAATAGCAGCTAGTCAACTGCTATTTAGCAAGCAGTTGATGTTGTTCTTGCGTCTTTCATTTTTAATTCAATTAGCTTTTTCTGCTTTCAGACACAAAATTTGAGAGTTTTCAAATTTTGACACTCATTAGTTCCAATATAGATCTCCAAAAGAATTTCCAAACATTCTTGCAAAAACAAAGTACAACTGCAGATACTAATTTGTTTTAAAGGGGAACAATTTTGTGGAGTTTAATTGCAGGGTCTCCTAAGTAACCTAAGTATGGCTTGAAACTGAAGTATGAAGGCTGGTGTAAAGCAAAGAATAAGCCGCTGGCTGCTGTTTCCTGAAAACAAACAAGGATGCCACCAGAGCTGTCATGCAGGAAGTAAAAGTGGATCAAAAAGGTTAACTAGAACAGGATTTGATCATTTATTTTAACGAGACATTGATTCTCTGTTAATTATGCAGAAAAAAAGCCTTTTCAAACTTTTACTTCAAATTAAAATGTAATGTGCATGACACTGCAAAATGAAGTCCATGCTCATATTGTGATCAGTGTTGTAGAGGTGGGAAAATGGAATATCTTTATCCTTACAGAGGTAGATAAAGATAGCAGATTTTTAACTTCTGGTGGAGATTTCATACAAAGCAACGCAACTATGTACGTACTATACACCATCTTCACTGCAATGTGAAGATTGTTCCCCTTTAAATCAAGCATGTTTTTTTGTTAATACTAAGGCACAGTTTGTTAGCCCAACACCCACACACTCTATACAAGCTACGGCAAAATGAACAAACCCAGCTGGGCCCTTATCTATTGCAGAAGCAACAGAAAGGGGGACTGGCCTATTTACCTTCATCAGCCTCAATAGCCTCAATAGTAGCTGAAGAGAAGAAAGGGGTTGCAAAACGAATGAGAAAAGTGAGCAGAGGATTTAAATTCTGAGAACAAGTCAATGAGCAGCAAAGGAGCTAATGCAACTAAAATGTTAACTTCTGGGTATTTTGACAGAACCACACACACGAATGTTAGTAGAAAGAGAAGGAAGCATGAGCCTTTTTCTTAAAATATCAGAGATTGCGTACGAACAAGATCAGGGTGAAGAAAAAAGTAAGGGAACAAAACGCAGCTTTTTAAAGGAGAATTCGATGAGGATCTTTTGGTAACTTTGCTCTTTTAAGTCTTTTTCTTAAACTAGAAAACTCAATGTATGACTGTAAAACATTAAGCATTTCAATGACTAAGTCATAATGTTACACTTTAGGGGGCTGCTGCTGGGGATTCTGGTGAGAAAAAAAGACTTGAGCTCAAGAATATTGAGTTCAAACATAGAACCAGTGCTTCTCTCTTTCCCTCACAGGTCTTGCTGTACGTTGTACAAACACAATACTGTATATACAGTACGTGGGCTGCAAAAGCATGATGTATTTAGTAAAAGAGAGTTGTGAAAAGAATAAAGCCTTTAGAACACTGATAAAACAATCAATATTACAAGTTGACACTTTTAAAGGCCAAAGATCATAACCATGAGGGAATGTGGTTACAGAAAGAGAACAAAACATCCTTACAAAAAAGTACTGTCATAAATACAGGCTAAAACTGCTCTACTTTTTTCTTCACAACATGTACACAACTCAAATCTTTAAACTGTTTTAGAAATGAATCTCAATTTGTAAACAAATCTACTGAGATATCATTCGTTTTCATTATCCAGTGCATAGTAATGATGATTTTGTCCTGTGAGTCTAATGCTAATGGATTAAAAAATACTTCTATAAAAAAACACCCACAACCGTATACTGTACAGTACATGTCCCACAACCTTGAAAAACATGACACATAAAGAAAAAAAGAAATCCAGTGGATAATGAAGCACAACTTGGTGACAGCAGCACATTTGTCCGTCTCAGCTTTGAGATGCTTTGCTAAGATTCTACAAATGCTGAAACAGGAATCAGAATAATATCACTCACTTTTGACATGTTTAAATGTCTCCCTCTGTTGGGTACTATTTTACTATACTGTACAATACACCTGGAGTTTTGTAGAGCATTTATTGCCCTCTGAGTGGTACCTAACTGATGAAGATAGATTCCTGTCCTAGATTAAGAATACAAATGTTACACAGGGGGTGACTGGTTTGCTGTTGTGTTTAACAGGAATTCTACAAAATAAACCAAGAACCCAACAAGGTCTCTTCTCCTGGTTGTGCTATGGCAGCTCTCTTTTAGAGACCAATTTTATAAGGGATCACAAGTTTTAGAGCGGTACTGAGCATTCTGTTATTCCAGAAATCTTTTTTAATACAACGACCTTTAAATGACTTTAATGTAAAAAGTCATGATTGTTTTATGAATAATTTTCTACCTTTTACAGAAGACGCTCCAGATTCTTATACAGAATTTGGAATTCACAAATATAAATATGCATTATAAATACTGTGATATCACCATTATCACGATAAAAATATTTCCTTGCTTTTGTAAAGTATTCTTCATTCTACAGATCCCCAAAGCATTTTACATATAAGAGGGGACCTACATTGTCCACCATTAAAATGCATTAATTAAAATTAATATGCAGTACCCACCTCGGTGGCATGTGGTAGCCATCATGCACCAGAAGCCCCACAGCACATCACATCAGGTGGAGAAGTGCGAATTTCTTCACAAATTGAATTAAGTGGCGAATCTAAGGAGGCCTGATTGTGCAAAACCCAATTTGAGTTTAACCACTTTACTGGCATTAAAACTCCTGTTCATCTGAACAGTACCATGGGATCATTAATGACCCTTTAGTCCAGTCCTCTGTTGAAGGATGGTACTGTACCTCATGCAGCACAGTGTTCCCTATCACCATATTGACTCAGAAAGTCTGACCCAGAGGGAATAGTGCCACCTACTGATCCATTAACATCACTTGTATCTACCTAGTTTTCCCTCAAGGTTTCTCTTCCCAGTATGGACCAGAACTAGCCCTGCTTAGCTCCTGAGAGCTGAAAAGATCTGGCAAAAAGGTACTAAAGCTAATGTCAAAATCCAAGTCATTTCCCCCTTTTTATCTTGTTTCCACTAGACAACGTTTCTGAGCTACTCATCTTTTGAAAAATCAGTTTCAATTAAAATAGTTTCAACTGAATGAATTTACAGCCTACGCATTATACTATAATTTAAATCTCTGCAGGCACTTTTAACCAACAAAGACCCTGGCACATCTCTGTACCAAAATATAAAGTAAGATGTCACTTTATATCAATAGTAGAAAAACTGATAATTTTGCATAATATGTACAATAACATGTCATGAAAAGAGGAGTGAAATTGTTTGGATTTCTGTCTTTTTTGTGGATGAGAAATAGATACCTGTTATCCCCTTTCAAACACAGCTTATGATTAAAGCAAATGTCTAATAGTTTCTTCCCTGGATCTTTTGCAACAGAAAGTATCCAGATATTAACCAGGGAAGTATGAAATGCCTCATATTTTCCTTTGAAAATATTTTTGTATTACCATATTTAAAAGAATATACATAATTCTGTGATGTAAGGGAGATAGAATGTCAAAATAACACAAGTATTTTGTATTCAACATGAGTGGATGAAGTTTGCTTTTGTCTCACAAACACATTTTAGGCAGAATACTTGCGCAAAAGATTATACCTGCAGTTTCTAGAGAGAAAGGGGAAAGAAAGAAATAGAAAAAAAAGTTTGAAACAACCAGCAGAATGTAGAGTAAAAGAGGGAAAGTAAGTGATAGTTTATTCGGGTCGGCAATACCGCAGACATTGTTAAGAAATGGATAATAAATAAAAACCTATTTATAAAGGAAAGTTAATTCTCCAGATTCAGTGGATCCCCATTCCTGAGTAGCATGGGATTTGAGAAAATACAGTCTTATTCGTCTGAGAAGAAGACTCACTGATTATTATTCTAAGGAAATATACAATAATTTAAACAGCAAGACACATTCGGGAAATTCTATACTTTTCTTTGTGCCTTGTAACTAATTGGAAAAAAAACCCTCTGTAATACTGTGCTTAGGAATCAAACACATATTTATCAAAGGAAGCAGTTTACTGTTATAGAGTTTATGAGTGGAACAGTTATAAACAGATTTTCATACATCATTAGACATAAATGCAGTAAGGATATGTTAAGGTATGTATATCATACTACATCATTACATAACAAAGAACATTACACAGATAGCTTAACATTGATGTTTCTTTACCTCCATACAACACATTGCTGTCTAAGACAAAGGTACATGGCTTAAGTGCATGCTTACCATTTTGAAGTTTCTCTTTCCCTCCTGACAACACACCGCTGGGAAGCATGCCAGTTGGAGTCAAACCCTTCAATGTCAGGACACTCTCACTCTCCTCTCTGCAAAGATGAGGATAAATACATTACACTGTTGTGATCTTAGTGGCTTGACATGCATTTCTGTATCAGCTGTGATAAGAAAACCAAATTTTGAAACACTGTGGTGATGAGTCAGATGCGAAACCTTGTATACCTGACAATAAACGTTGAATTATACAAGCTAAAAAAAATGCAATGAACACACAAAAACATAAGAATGGTTACTAGATAGGAGGCCATTCAGCCCAGGTACTTTGGTCGAGCTTTATAGGGACATGTGCATAAGATGTTGTGACAATTTACTGTATAGTGCTTGGAATAATGCAATGCTAGAACAAATGACATGACCTCTTATGCACGTTATGTTACTTAAAAGTCCCTTTATGCATGTGAATATAATGTCTTTTGTAGCAATTATGAAGGGATAATGAAGCAGCAACATTCAAATAAACCTTTCCAAAATTTCTAACACTGAATGCCTGGTCTTGCAACACATTAGAGTTTGATAAAGACTCAGGTTTGCAGAGCACCTGAGACATTACCAAGTACATTACCAAGTCTGAGTTTCTGCCAAGCTGCTGACCATAGAACGAAGCAAAAGCTGGTATTTTATCACAAGCGATGTGACGAGGTAAAAAACTCACAGGGGAAAGAGCCACAGGGACCCCTGCTTTGGAAGTCTGGAAAGGCTGGATGTAAAACATTTTGGGTCAATTTGGTCTTTTCGTCACATAAATACATTAGTTTTTAAGGGTAAAATATAGATTTAACAATGCCTTATTTCTTTGTCCTTTCATTTTTTTTTTCTAATTGCCTGAATAATCTATTGGGATAGCTGAGCCTCAGCACTTACTGTGTTACCAAATAAGCAGCTAATGTTAAACTTAAAAAAAGCCCAATACACAGAAAGAGTAAACATTTCACTATTTCATTGCACTTCAGCATTTCTGTGTGTCCTGTGGTTCTCTTCAAAGTGGCTGGGTTCATGCCTAGTTGTACCTCAGGACGGAGAACACCCTGGCCATCTTGCCTATGGCCCGGATCTTGTTGCGGATGACCTCTTTGCGTGCAGATGCTGTAGCACCTGTGGGAGGGAAAACAGAAAGTAAACAATGAGACTCATGATGAATTTGTTGATGAGACCAAATCAGCCAGTAAGCAAGAAGCCAAATTTGATCTTTTCTCATTCTTTATCTTCTGCTCAACCCTTTTAAAATAACTATGATGGGCTGATGTTTATACATAATATAAAGGATATTGACTCTCTCTTGATGTAGATAAGCAACATAAGTATAGAAGCAACAGCCTAATATGGTATGTATTAAATAGATTGGCTTTAATGCCCAATAGTTTCTGGTAAACTATGCCATTTTCATTTCATTAACAGTGAGGGTTTTAAAAGGCAGAAGTGCCTGTAATTACAGAACACCAATAAAGAGTAAAAGGATCCTAATGTTATGATGAGAAGCTCATTATAAGAGATAATAGTTTCACTTATAGACCATGATTTATTTCTACTCAGTTGACCTCAAAGAACCTGATTTCAAAGTAGGCTGTCTTATGTCTGCTGTTGTGATTAATTTTACAAAAATGTAAATATAAGCATTTTAAGAATAATAAAGAAAAAATAAAAATACTAAAGATAAAGCTGAGGTTTAGATATTAATGAAAATAAAAATGTTGATAAATCTCAAGCATGATCTCCTCCTGATGTATATGGCGATCTGTAATCTGGTTAGTATTTAATCAGCTTGATGATTTTTTAAGCTTTTCAGTCATTATTTTGTCACGTTTTTTTGTCATTTTGAATGGTAAACCACAGCTTATTATATCCAACCTTGCATTTTTAAATAGCAAACTCAAAAAGGGAACTAACAAACTGGACATCACACTTAATAGATTATTAAGATTATTATTTCTTCTTCCTTTAACAGCACACAGCTATCGTAAAAAGCCAAATGAAATGAAAAAGCCATCATTATCATCTGCTCTCCACTCCTCCACCCCACCCCCAACACACATTTTTTTTTACTTCTTACAAAGCCTTTTAAATTAGACTGTTGAAACATAAACCAACAATTTTGCTTTTTAAAGCTGTGTGGGCAAAAGCTTTACTCCGAAGTGGGTTAATATTTTGTTTTCTAAGAGACTTAATAGAACTGCACATTTTATGAGTTTTAGTGTTCTGGGTAGTTTCCTCTTCTCCAATATTTCAATAATTAGGCTACCCCAACTATTTTTACATCAGATAGGTGGCGCCTGGGATATCCAAGAGCCCCAACAAGTAAAGAACCTCAATTGTTCTGGCAGGTTAAAGTCCATGATCCAACCAATGTGGTCTGGTTTCTCCACAACCTTGTCATGTTACAGTATATGGAAGAACAGATGCATTTATTAAAATGTCAGTTCAACAAATTGCCCTTTGAATACAGCATCAGTATTGGAAAAATGGAAATAGAACAGAAATAGAAATGTTAAGAACAAAAGCTTCCAGGCTCTAAATAAGAAATCCATCAATTAAAAAAAAATATCGTAAGACCATAAGAAAAGCTAAAAATGAGAAGAGGCCATACAGAACATATAGCTTTTAAAAAAAACTTTGGTAGCTAATTGAATCTTAAATTAAAGTTGCCATTTCTTGAAGTAACCTATTCCAGATATCTACAGCTTTGCTTGTTAAAAAAGCATTTCCTGTTATCCATCCTAAACGTACCTCAGGATTTTATATAACTGGATCAAATTTTATTCTATTCTGGCCAGAACTAGAGATTAGGTTCAGTATCATGGGTAAAAAATACCTGGAATCATTTTTTACCTCTGATTTCTTGGGAGGCTGATTCTAAAATATCTATTTTATATAATGGTGACGAAAAATAGGTACATTATTCTAAATGAGACCTTTCTAATGTATTGTAAAGTTTCACCATGACTTCCTATGATTTTCTAACATACTGTATAACCAGAAATTGTTTCCTCTCACATTGTCTTGTAGAGGACATCCAAGAACCTGCATAAACTCCAAGATCCATTTAATCTTTCTGTAATTCATGGCCACCCATGCAATATGTACAGTACAATACATGTTCTTCTTTTTATTTTAAAGTGCTTTACATATAGCACCCAAATATGAGTCTAAAGTCTCACGATACAACAAATCAGGTGGAGAATGAACTTTTTGACAGCTTAAACTCTCATCTTAAGAATGACACCTCATATAGGACAGTTAACTTACAGCAGCATCCTGGTTTTCTTTAGAGATCTGCCATCCCAGTACTGATCAGGCTCAGCCTTGCTTGCCATGCATACCAGAATTTAAAACATTGATACAGAGCAATGGGACTAAAATGGAGCCCTATGGAACTGTACATGACTCTTTACATCAACCCAAATATTCATACAGTATTAACAATTTCTCAAAAGTACGTGAAAATACAATGTATAAAAGATATTAGTTGGCCTCTGAGACTAATTTATTTCTTAAATTATCTGTTGCTTCCTTTGATTTTTGCGTATCACTCAGAAGATACCTCACATGGTTTAAAAAATGAAAAATAAAATTATAATAAAAGATTTTGAAAAATTACTATTGCTGCACAGTATGTTCTTTATTTTTATGAGGAGTTAGACTGCTTGTGGATACCAATTTACTGTACTCAGGGCAGGTTTTAAAATCTTTTTAGAAATTATACATAAAAAGGAAGTTGCTAACAACAAAGGCATTTGCTTCTCCCTTAGGTGTTAACTTCTTTGTATCGAAACATGTTGTTTTCAAACTTGCATTGTGTCTAATTAGCAACTCCAAAAGGTCCCTTTGGTCAGACTTCACTGTGGTAGCTTAATTATTCAGAGAATCAGAGATCTAAAGGGGCCAATTAAACATTTATCTGAAAAAATGGTGGGAAAAGGGCAACCTTATACAGTTTTAATTGATGAAAAACAATGCTAAATGTTTGTATTTTATTGTTGAATGATTCATCAGTTAAGTACAGGGGGAAACAAACCAAGGCTGGATCTATACAACATACTTCAGTCTTATTTTAATGTAATTCTTCTTCACTAGACACTTCTAGTGTTTTTCTGGAACCAGTTTTCTGTGCTATCCTATGCCTTACCGTTTGCTCAAAAAGAGAGCATCTAAAACTAGCACAGTCTAGAGATATTTGAGATTCAGAGTTCATCCTCTGGTTTCATCTTTGCAGTGTTGTACAAGTCATGGAATATGACATCTTGGAATGACATCGTAATGGTCATAAAATGCAGTAGACTCATGGGATTGGTAAATGAGGTTATGAATGAAAATAGATGCATAGAGTAAGAAAAGAAAACAGTGAGAACTGCAAGGTACTGACCAAACAAAGTCTGATAACTCTTAAAATGATGTCTCTAAATACATGAATTTGGGCTTTCTTTCTCTTATTGTCTTAATTAGTTAATTAGTGATATATTTATGAAAAGGGCAGCATAGTAGTGAAGTGGTTATCACTGCAGCCTCGCAGTGCTTGGCTCATGCACAATTCAGGACCATGGCTGCTATTTGTGTGGAGTTTGTAGGTTTCTACCTGTATCCAGGACCCTGTGGGTTTGCTCTGGGTGCTCTGGTTTCCTCCCACAGTCCAAAAATATACTGGCAGGTTAATTGGCTTCTGGTAAAACTGGCCCTGCTTTGAGTGTGTGCCTGTGTCTGCCTTGTGATGGACTGGCATCCCATCCAGGGTGTACCCTGCCTTGTGCCCAATGCATGCCTAGATAGGCACTGGCTCCCCATGACTCTGAGATGGGTGAAGTGGTTAAAAAATGGAGAAATATATGAAAAGGTTTGACCTTTATCTATCATATGTATTCTGTACATCCACTCTTAAACAATGATACGTATTGAACTCGTAAAAGTCTGAATAACCACATACATTAACCTCCATGATTGATTATAAATCCTATCTGCTTTCTTCTCAACTAGTATGTGTTTTGTTTGCTTTAAATTAATATATTATATAGAAAAAATATTTTATGGATAAGATTTTGAGAACCTTTATGTACATTAAAGTGGCTCACATGTTGGATTTTGTACCTTTCTTAGGGCCATAAATAAGCTGTTCTTCTCAAGAAAACCCCAGAAGAGAAAAAGACAGAGAGATCACTGGGTGGTTGACGAATGAGAAAGAAAACAAACAACAAAAAAGGAGCAAACAAACACCGATGGCAAAGAAAAGTTTAAATATAGTCTGAAAAACAGAAAGAAGAAGCAAATTAGACATGACACCTAAAGAAAGGAAATAAATTATGTAAGAAAGGAGAGCAGAAAATATTAAAGAAAACAATTTATGAAACATTAATGAATCAAAACACCAATATACTATGGTAGTGACAAATGTGTGATGTTTAAACAAAACAACAGCAACAAAAAATCATCTTTAAAAACAGTTGCCTTAAGAGCAGCCATTTCACTGATGCAAAAACACAAATAAGCACGATTCATGCTCCTTTAATTAATACTAACTTCAAGAAAGTTATTCAAATAAGTGCATGCTTAATTTGGTACGCAAAGAAATTGTACTTAGAACAACATACATCTGGGTTCAATTAACAAGTATCACCTCACTATCAGGAGGTTTGTTAACAGGGGATCTATACCTGGTGTTCCAGTTTTGGAAATACTTGTAAACAGCACAGTGACTCAGAGATGCCATGGATTTAAATTGCAAGTATTCGTAAAAGTACTGGAAAGTTTCCAGAGTGGCGGAGGGGTGGGGGTGGGGTGTATTTGAGACTTGTCCACCTACCTTTAAAGATATATTTTAAAGATACATCTGCTACTTCTTAACTAAAATAACAATTATTAAATAATAGTGAAAAAAATAATGACTAAATGTTCAAATGGTTCAAAGTCTTTCTCAAAAATCAAAAATCACTTTACTCTTTCTATTTACTGAATGTAAGTACTATATATACACTAAAGGACACAAAGATATTCTTTCTGGAGATAATCATATAAAAAATAAAATACAATGCTACATATCTGAAGCTACAACTTAAACATAAGGATCTGAATTAAAAATAGTTTAAAATGATAATGAATGTTACATACTAAAGAACATACTACTGTACACATTAGCTTTCTTCACATGGACATTAGCTACAACTGAAAATGTCAAGTTTTTAATTTATTAAGGCAAACAAAACAAAAGCTAAAACCCCCTCATGAATGTGTAATAAGTAGAAGAAATTTAAACCTTTCTTTGTGTCAATCTGGATGATCCTGAAAACAAAGGATTTTCCTTATTACTCCATATGCAGCTAAAATGCTAAAATTCTCGCTTTGGTGCAGGTTGTGTTTAGAAACCTACAAGTATGAATCTCAATAATGAAAGATTTCCCTTGTTTTTTTATAAATGACACAGTGGCTAAAAAGACCCTTGTTTGACAGGGCTCAGACTGTGACCTAATGTGGTCTTCTGATATATAGAAAGACTGGATTATGATTGACCATTATAGGATGTGAAATAACACTTAGAGCCCCTGGCGTTTGGGCTTGTCCCGCTGATGACTGAACAGGGTACTTCTTCAATATTTATTTTTCAATAATTAAATAATTAAAAATCATATTATTATATGTGTGAAAATGGTTTCTTTATTCTTGGATCAAATAATGCATTTCTGCCAGTTTTAGTTTTTCGATATTTCTCAATGTTTTTTGGTTTTACATTCAAATTTGATCACCAGTGATTGCAGAATCATTGCGGCCAAATGGATTTAAAATACATGATGCACATTAACTTACTAAAATGTCAAATGTGTTCATATAAATAGAACCTTTTCAAAGCAACAGAGTACATCCAAGTGTAGGAACATAGAAAAAACTCTTGTAGGACAGTATTTTTAAATTGATCAGGGTAAGATTGCTTTTCTGCCTTCAGGGAAAAGGTATTGTACTTAATTTTGCCAAAAGCATACTGCACAACAGTAAGGGCTATTTAATGAATTGTGGGTCTGTTTTGTCCCTGAGAAGCAATTATTCACTAAACTGAAGTACCTGCTGATAGGAGTAAACAGTGTTAATGTAGGAGGATTAATAGTCCTTAACTAAAGCCATGCCACTCAATGAGCAGTCTTTCATCTTAAAGACATTATTGAAAACAGCAGAACAAAGTGTTTTGCCTCTGACATATATGAAGTGCATTTTCATCAGGAAGCACTTAAGTCTTTCTGATATTTACTCTCAAACTCCTGCTTTGTGGACACAGTCCAGGATCAAACAGACAGATCCCATAAGAGCAATAAATTTGATCTGTTGTTTAATCTGTTGTTATTAAATAACCATGGCCTTATCCCACTTAAACTGTATGCCGACTCATACAGTAAGATTTACAAAACAATTCCTTATTTCTCATACTCATTAAATTTCAAACCATGAAGCCCTTCATCAGTATTAACAAATGTGCCATTAGGGATTTTGGATTATGACCTTTGCACCTACAGATAGTATGTAAAACCTTTGACTGTGCATACTTACAGCCATGTGAAAAAAAAGTACCAATTCAATGGTTTTACATATGAGGGCATAAATAACAATCGTCTGGTCATCACCAACTTCTAGAATTAGACAAAGCTAGCCTCAGATAACAGACAACACATAACAGATTTCACTATGTCATTTTTTATTCAACAAAACGTAAGCCAAAATGCAGAAACCATGCTGTAAAAATTAAGTACACTCTTACTGCTTCCATAGGAATAAAGAAGGTAATTAGCAGCCGGGTGCTGCTAATCAAATGCACTTGATTAGTATATCATCAGGAAGTGCGACCACCTCTATAAAAGTAGAACTTTTGGCAGTTTGGTGGTCTGGAGCATTCAGGTGTGTGTTAATACCAAGCCAAGCAGAAAAGACATCAGCAATGAGCTCAGAGAAGCAATTGTTGCTGCTCATCAATCTGGGAAGGGTTATAAGGTCATTTCCAAACAATTTGAAATCCATCATTCTACAGTGAGAAGTGAGATTATTTACAAATGGAGAACATTCAAGACAGTTGCCAATCTTCCCAGGAGTGGGCGTCCCAGGGAATTCACCTCAAGGTCAGACCATATAATGCTCAGAGAAATCGCAAATAACCCAAGAGCTACATCTAGGCATCTACTGGCCTCGGTTAACATGTTAAATGTTAAAGTTCATGACAGTATGATCAGAAAAAGACTGAATAAGTATGGCTTTCATGCTTGGCCAAAATTGGGTCATGCAACAGTTCAATGATCCCAAGCACACCAGCAAATCTACAACTGAATGGCTGAAAAAGAAAAGAATCAAGGTGTTGGAAAGGCCAAGTCAAAGCCCAGACCTCAACCCCATTGAGATGCTGTGGTGTGACCTTAAGAGAGCTGTGCATAAACAAATGCCCTCAAACATCAATGAAGGGAAGCAATTTTGTAAAGAAGTGTGGGTCAAAATTCCTCCAAAACGATGTGAGAGACTGATAAACTCATACAGGAAATTATAACTTCATATTATTGCTGCTAAAGGTGGTTCTACAAGCTACTGACTCATGGGGTGTACTTAGTTTTTCACACATGGCTTCTGCATGTTGGCTTATTTTATGTTAAATTAATAATGACATAGTGGAATCTGTTATGTGTTATTTGTCACCTGAGGTTAGATTTAACTAATTTTAGGACCTGGTAAGGACCAGATGTTTTTTTTTTTTGTTATGTCCTGATATATAAAACCATACAATTGAAAGAGGGTGTACTTTTTTTTTCACATCACTGTAAACCTTAACATGCACTCAGGGGCATCAGAAAAAAATACATACAAAAAACAGGGCAGTATTATTAAATTATATTTTGTGCCCGATGTGCTGCTGTTGAAAATATGGACTGCTATATAACTATACTGAATACAGTACATAGGCCACCATGTAGCACAACTATACCTTAAATGAGGAAATATTCGCTAAAACATATTGTGAATATGAATGAAAGTGAAATAAAAGGACAAGACTAGTGTTCCTGACCTGAGGATGTAAACTAGCAGCACCAGGAAAGAAGACATTTTCTGGATTTATTTAGAAAGGGCACAGGCAGTGAACATCAGTCAGCGCCTACAATCTGCCTACTGATAGAGCAAAAGCATCCCACAGGCAGGATGATTTGAGCAGAGTACCCTACTAAGAGAATGCATAGATGTGAGCTACTGTAGGTAACTGTGGAGATGGTTGGGATGCTGTGAGTAATTACCCAGAAAAGTAAACAAAGGTAATAGGTGCTATGTGAAGCTGTAAGGTGATCATTATGATCACCTTACAGTCCGGTGTTAAGTCCGGTGTTAAATCTCCTGTAGTTCATCCTGATATAACATGCACATATACACAGGCAAAATGTATGACTACATCTAGGCAGTTAATAGAAATGTTTTGAACCAGATGTTGTCTACTTATCCAGCAGTTCTAATGCATTGTTTTCTATGTGAATAGGATAATGAATGTAATCTGAGGACTCTAAGAGAGAACTTTGTGTGGAAAGAGAGCCCCCTTGTGGAGATCTTGCAAAGTAAAATAAAATCATGGTAACCTCAAGTCAAAATGGCCAAGTTCTTAATCCTACTTCCCAGAGGAGATTTTTAATTATTTTCTTGGCTGTTCTGTATCATCCGGGAATTAAGTTAATCACAGCACAACTGATTTACTCAAGATTACTTTCATTAACTTTTTTTTGCACCCACCGTCAATCTCTTCATCAGTCGTCAACTCATCATTGGAGCAGATGCTCAAAACATTTACCAACATCTCAGTCACTGCAAAGAAAATAAAACAGAGTGTTAAGACAACAGGCAGGCTAGGCTCAGGCTCAGATAATACATCAGCACAGGTCAGTTTTTATTTTACATTGAGTCCAAGTTTTTTGACACTCTACTCTGATAATTCTAGTGCTGGAGATCTCCAGTTGTTGCCACTGTATTTATGATTACCTCTTGAACACCTTCTCTGTCACAGCCTGTGGTGGTAAGATACACTTGTGTCCACTTCCCAACAGCACGGCCACTGTACAGTACCACTAGCCTCAAATCTCTGAATAATAGTCTACTGTGGAAAGTGATAGATCCCACTTTTGGGGACTGTTTTATAGCAAGCGTCCAACAAAGACTATTGGCCTGCAGTCTTTGTAGAGGCCTCCAACATTAGCCTTGATCATGCATGCTACTACTAAATGTCTTCCTTGTGCTGCCTCCTTTTAAACCCCAGGGAAAACAGGGGTTTGCAGGCCTCTATAAAGCTCCACAGGCATGCACTGCCTAAGAGCAGAATGTTTATGTACATTTACTTTTCTTGGATTTTATTTAAAGGTGGTGTAAATAAGTGTGACCCTTTTGTTTTCTGGAATTCAGTTAATAATTTAAGACAAGTCATGGTGTTCTGTGCAATACTACTATTAGAGTATAACATTTGTAGAATATTTTTAAAATTGTGTACCTTTATTTTGGTGGCACACAAATCATACAAAATTGTAACTTTGGAACAAAGTAAAAATTACTTTGATCAGCTTGTGTACCAACTGATAATCAATAATACCCAGCAGCAAAAAATGAGACAGTTCCCCCAAGATGGCTTATTATAGCAATAATACAACATATATATATTTTCATGACCATCCATATACTACTCTAATGGTATAGCCTTCAAATTCCAAATATCAAGAGCTTCAGTTTCCTTTTACAAATGTATAACTTTAATGACCATCAAATGAAACCACAGTTAGTAATGAATACATAATTATTTCTGTCAATCAATGTTTTCTGCTCCTATTTCATTCTACACTGAATATATCTGGAGAAGACTGTATTTAAATTAATTTATAGCCACTCTACAATCTGCTCACCACTCAGCTCAATTACGGGTTTTTACTCAACACTAGACATGAGATGTGGAGGAGGTGGTATAGTAGGCTGTATACAATAAGCCTTAACCCATCTCTGAGTAGGAGGTATGAATAGGAAGAGACTTCTATAAAAGCTGCTTTAATATAGAAATGAAACAGCAGTCTAAGAGGTGAATGGCTGGTCTCTCAGTAATATGAGAGGTTCAGCTACTATCACCCTCTTTCTCTCACTACAACAGAATAGAAAAACAGCATCATCATGTGAGTGGGTCCCAAACTTCTAATAGCTTGGGCATTGATCTTGAAATACAGAAATTATTTGAGAACTGAAAAGACCAAATTTAAAGAAAAAATGGTCTTATTAAAGAAAATATTTCCTTTTTTGTGGGATCCACCATGTCATTTTAATGCATAATTTGGTATATGGAGAAAGGTTCCTCCAAGTGTAACATCAGTTTACAGAGTAGTTTTGTCCTGGATGAAGCCTTTTATTTTGTTAAATAATGGCTTTAACTACCAAAACTTGTCAATAATTTGGATGATGCCAAAATCTGTTTGTCACTGAGAGACTCAGGCAGCTGTCTTGGTTCTGTGTAAATATTTGTGTTATATTATGTAAATATTTGCACATATCAATCTGTGTATTTTGTCTGTTAATAAATACATAGAAGTTTGTGTCTTCTAAGTTGCTTCCTGTTTCCTGAAAATTAAAATTAAAATTAAAATTATTTCCCTTCATTATTTCAAATTTCCTGCTAGACAAGCTAATATTAGAGCCTGAATTCACAATTATTTACGAGCTTAATTTATAAACATTGACATTCGAACTCGACTGTCTAGGGTGAGCGGCTGATTTGTAACAATATTGAGCCAAGAAATATTGTACATTCAAATGCTGCCTCCTGTTCACTAAAATGTTTTAATTAAAAAATCCCAACACTATATTAGATCAGTATTGAGTTTAAGCTACCATTCCTTCTGAACTGCTAGTGAATAGTTCAGTATCTCCACTATGGTACAGTATCTAAAATGTCTATACACAGCAGTGGCAGGGGAAGGGAGGGACAGAAACCGAGGAATTTTATTTTAAGAAGGAAACAAAACATTTATTTTCAGACGGTTTCTGCACTGCTTTACTGCTGAGGGCAAAGGGTTATGTCCAGCTGTGTTCACATATGAAATGCACACAGCTATTAGGGTTACTGCAGCTGAACAAAATTAGGAAAACCACAACACAATATACTGTATGTCCCACTGCATGATCTACAACTGTTTCATTCAGGCAGTATGCAATAATATTAACCAGGCTTCAAACCACAAAAATACACTGTCCTATCCTCACACTTTAGTGATACAATAGACTAAATTCTTAACATTTATCCTGATTAAAAAAAGGTTTAAACCAGCTACACATCTAATATTTAAGGTACTGTATATAATGGAACTGTCATGTTGTTCTGGCACTTCAAAAGTGGTGGAAAATTACTGGCAAATGTCAAGCAACCACTAAAGGCCAGTATGCAAATGAAAGTCAGAGCTGGCAGTAAAGTTGATGTTTTAATGGCTTATGGAATTAAAATGAATATGACACTCTATATTTATTTACTGAGAAGCACTGAAACACAGCAAATGCTACTGGTTCTAATGATTGTTTAAACCATTTGTTCAATAAAGATATGGCAATGTAAAATGTTGTGTGTGTTGTTTTTTAAATAAGACTGTCTTTATTTATTAGTATGCCTTAGAAGAAGATCAGATCACATTTTAGGAGTCATTCATGCAGAAATCCAGATAATTCCTAAGGGTGTGCACATGTTTTCTCACAACTGTATGACTCAAAACATGACTGAATTGCTAGTTTGGCTTCACAAACCTGTTTCATGAATTGGAATTCAGTCATCACCAATGGGGGACCCCTGCAAGAGCACTGTAGTCCACCTTTCTTTGTCTAGAAAATATGGCAATGTGGCTCCATCTATACAATTTTTTGAGCAAGAACTGACTGACATTATTCTTGTTCGGGTGCCAAAGAACGCTCTGCTGCTGAAAAGTTGTGTTTCTTTTCTTCTCTTTTCAGCATGGAATAAACCTTTACTTTTCTTTTACTTGTTTTTTTTACAGTTTTTTATAGGCTGCTGACACAGCCACCTACTTGAACTATAACATATTATAGTAATGTACTGGTACTGCTTCATAATACAGAATCACCAGTTACACTATGGTTCATGAAGACATTTCATTACCAGCAACTACCGCTGCATGCTGTACTGTTGTGCATTTGATACATAAACTTTGATTGATTGAAGAAAAAATAAACTGATAAGAGTTACATAGACAGTTCTGTATCAAGAAGGCTTTTATCACCATATTAGAGATACATCTAGAGGTCAACAAGAGGGACTGTGCAAAGTTCATCCAAACACCTCTGTGTCTGCAAACTGATATGTAAGCTACACAACAAAATGCGTAATAATATACAAAAATGCAAGTGCTTAAAAACACTGGACACTAGAAACGAAAAGTAAAGAAAATATGTAATTACAATTATGGACAATAATTGGAACAATGTTGGTAAATAATATGGAAAGGGGGCAATATAATAACCAAATCAGTAATAGATTATTATATTGCTGTGTCAAACAACTTCACTGAAAGCATTGGACACACAATATCTTATTTAAACATTGATCCAGTAGCAAGGAAATAAAAGGCAATTTAGCAAGCACAGGAACTGCACATTTCTGAAAGATTTGGATCTGTTTCTCTGTCCAGCTGCTGACAAAAGAATTGAAGTTCTTTTCCTTTAAATGAATCCTTTGCTTTGTGTCATGATCAGAAAAATAAAAATGGTCACTGTGTATTTTAAAGCTGTAGGCTAAAAAAATGAGTTGAATTATATGATAAATCTCCTTTCTCCTGACAACAGCCCTAATTACCTGAAACTGATTTCTCACTGCATTACCATCAGAAAAGAAAATTGCTCCCATATTTCACTGCAATACCTCATTGACTGAACAACACATATATACATTTATCATGACACAATTACAATTATCATGACAGACAGATGCATTAAATCAGATAAAATGGAATAAAACAAAATTAAACCTTTCCCCCATTGCCAAGCCCATACTGTTTGGAGTTGAGCATTAGAAACTGAGAGTTTTTCCATGCTGGTAAAAAAAAACATTTCTGTCATCACATTTGTGAAAAATCCCTTTCAGCAAATGCAAATGAAGGAAAAGGGGGCATTTTTCAGGTATTCCCTTCCATTTTATAATGCAACTACTGTGCAAGTTTATAAATCATAAGTAAATACAGCAAGGCACTAAGAGCCCTGCTAAAATATATGGCAGGTTTTATGAATAACACACACTCTCAGTTTTGGATATTGGATTAAAAAAAATGGATGACTAAAGTGCTTTGACGGTGACAGGAAATTGTCTGGTACTTCCTGTGACATACAAAGAGTAGCAAGCCACTCAAAAATAGGTAGGTTTCACCGAATAAGCATGTAAACAATGTACATAACCTACAGGAAGTGTGAATGGCTGTACTGCTATTTTTTATAGTGAATCAGTTAAAAACAAGTAAGCTTTTTTCTGTGAAAATGTGATACCTTTATTAATTTCTACTCACCTTTTTCCCCAACAAATGGTAATGACCAAGTGAAAACATCCATGAAGTTGGGAAGCCAGTAAGGATGGGGAGAGCAGTTGAACTGTCGGATATTCATTACATTGTTCTCATATTTCAATACTGCAGCTGGAAATGGAAAAATAAAGAGGAAAAAAGCTGACTCAGGGTTAGGAATAAGCAGAAGGAGATTTCTATTTTGATTGATGTCCGTCGCACTCGGTTTAACAGAAACCCAAGCCGTTTGTTTTTCCCATTTGTCACTAAGTCATAATCTAAGCAATCTTCAGATAATGATGAGCCTTCTCCATTTCTTCAATAAGATGAGCAAAATAGCTGGTTTCTTTAGAAATTTTTTCCAACCTGAGAATACTATTTTTATACTAAATTACTAATACTAATTTAACTATTTTAAAAAATGCATGTGGATACTTGCACAATAATACTGCTATTTATCTTTTGCCATTTTAATTTTATAGTAGAAAGTATTTTAAATTATCCATCATTCCTTTTAAAAACATAAGGTCAGACTTAAATTCCTCATAGCCCTCCATAATCTAAATAGGCTGTTTTATAGCTGGAGCTATACTCTGTAACAAATAGACAATTATTCATATACTGTATATACAGTATACTGTATACACATACTCGTATATTACAAAAATGAGCCATAAAAGGTGGGCACAGGGCCCATTTCTGTGTAACTATTTATGATACACAACATAGAAATAACAACCACATGAGCTGGTAATTCATTATTTTCTTCCCAGAACTTTCTTTGGCATTGATTACAATCCTTTGCTACTTTCAAAAATCAATGAACTAAGGAAAGTTTTTATAAACAGCACTTGGCTCAGCATATATCAAGATGGAATTGTATTTATTATCTGGCAAGAAAGTGTGGTTGCTTTCCAGAGTGAAATATGAAGAAGAAAAGACTAGTAATAATTTCTGGAATGCTCCATTGGAAACCCCCATACACTCCAAAATGTCCATGTACATTTGTAGCAACAATTTCCTTAAAAAACTAATTGCATTAATTGCATTTTTTTTCTACTAGGCAAAAAAACAGCCAAGGATGTGGGTTTAAAAGAGATAACTGCACCGAGGAGAATTTGTAAAGGCATTTTAAAATGTTGTCTTTCAATATCCTCCAAGATATTGTACTAAGAAACCATTTATACTCCTTTAAAATTAAAAATATATATAACCTGTCATAATATTGACTATAACAGCTATCATTTAGATAAGTGTTTTATATTCTGATTTAATAACAAATGATCTGTTTATCAGATTTGCTGCTTATATAAACAAGACTTGTTCAAAATAGTTCAGAAGTTTATCAAAAGTTCAAAACTTTTAATTGACATTTATGTTCATATCATTTTAAATATTTAATTCTGATCCCTTCATGATAAATGAAAAAAAAAATCTTGCAAATATGCTCAAAAACATTTAATTACATTTATTTTTTCAGTTATTCTCATTTGGAAATACATCATAGTAACTTCCATTAAAAACACCACAATTGTATTATCTAGAGGACAATAAAGTTGGAGTGCAATAGAGTTATTACAGTATAAGTAATTGCTTGGCTTCTTTTTATGGAATCATCAGTTTGATGCTATACTATGATGAGAGCTGATGACTTTTGATTAAACAAAGTGGATTTCTGCTATTCCATCAAGGAATGCATAAAGTACTTTGGTCAGTCACTGGTAATGTGGCTCACCACATTCGCAGAAGAGTAAGTCCTTAATTCCTCATTTATGGAGTAAACACACACAAAAACACTGGCACAATGAACATGAAACAAGCTAATTCCCTTACTGTATTACTTATCACTTATACTGTATTGTGAAAAAGCATTTCCATGTTAATACCACATCTTAGATGTACATCAGTCATTCTTTCACAATAATAAATGATAATTAAGATTCTGAAGTGAACTATCTCATTAAAGATGATATGGTTCCAAAGCTTATGTCAGCTATTCTGTTATGGATTACAGATTTTAATGCAGACTCATTTACAATATGCATGGCCATCTATTTTCTTCTTTTCCCTTCTGAGCCTAAAAGTTATAGTAAATGTCAGCAAAAACCACAGAAAAGAAAAATGTTGACTGCAGACCAGTGAACTCAATATTTGGTGGAAACACCTCTGGCAGCATTATATCTACTATACTGTATAAATACAGTATATTTGGGTAAGTCTGTACTATATATGCACACTGGCACAGTGAAAACTTTGCCTTTTTTTCATAGAAAATTTGCTCAAGCTCTTTCATGTTGTTGGGGGGGTCACTTATGGACATCACTTTTAAAGTCTTTCCATTAATTCTCCATAGCAATGAAGTCAGGACTTTGAGTCACCCAAGGACATTCACTTTCTTATTGCTCTCCAGTGTAGCTTTGGCCTTGTGCTTTGGATCTGTGTCATACTGAAAGGTGAATTTCTGTCCCAGTTTTAATTCTGAAGCAAGTTTTCCTCTAAGATTTGCCAGCACTTTTCTCCATCTATATTTCCCACCAGTCTAGACAAGCCTCCCAGTCCCCGATGGTAAGCAAAACTATAATTTAATGCTGCCACCATCATTTTATTTAATGTTTTATACCTATCTCTCTATCAACTTGATCCCTGAGTTGTTTTGAAAACTTCTTGGTCTTCATGGTTGACTTTACTTGCAATTTCTATCTGTCTGAGGAACCTCACAGAGACATCCCATCGTGTAGCTCATAAACTAATTTTGTACAGCTAATTTAATTTATGTTTGTCACAGCAAAGAGTTTGAATACTTATTCTTTTCTCTTTTTTTCCTATGCATATGTGGCGTAGGCTGTGTATATACCACACCATATATTACAATACCATATATTAATTTCTCCTTCAAAGTGACATGACAGCAAAGTCAAAAACAACAAAATGTGAAAACTGTGAAAAGGTCTGAATACTTTTGCGATATCCTGTATAATATTAAATTGGGCACCTATTTTCTTTTCTCTTCTTAGCTTAAAAGTTATTCACTTCTCAATGTGATTCAAAGTCAAGCTCCTTCAAGAGTTTTTACCAAAAAAAAGTATACTCATTTATAAAACTGCTGGCTAAATAATAAAAAAAAAACTAGCACAACTTGGTAATAATCACAAAGCATTATCAAAGGGAAACAGCATGGAAGTCCACACTGATTATAATTTACAGGTTCTCAGCTCATATATTATTTGGTGTTTAGTAAATGTAAATGGCAAATAACAAACCAAACAAATCTAATCAGGAAACAATTTACAACACAGTGTGCACAGTAATCCAACTGACCATTTTCAGTGCTAAAAAACAACACAAGAGGTCTCCAAACATTTGGCAGAGACTTTCACTGCTCTACTGAGAGTACTGTATTAAGCACTCAGTCCTTTGAGTATGTTTTTGGTCTCTGGCAGAATGAGAACATACTGTGCTTTGTAATGGATGATGCAGTGGAGAGAGAAGCTCTGCAGAGAAAATTACTTGATTAATTATTCACGTGGCAATTGTGGGTCAATATTGCAGAGGGACTTGCAAGGCTCTGATATTATTAAGAAAACTAGATTACTTAACTTCCTGTAATGAATTCAATTATCCCCCCACACCAGTTTTCAATGTAATTCCAATATATTAAGGTAAAAAAACACATAATAGGTCATACTACAACATAAATAACAGTGGTAGTAATTTGGTAGAAAATTACATAAATGTTGAAAACACAATAGTTGGGTTTAAACAGTCATCGCTGAATGAAGAATGGAAAAAGAAGTATGGAGAAAATTTACAAAACTTTATTTTTTTTTATCTTGCTCATAATGTGCCTTTAGGAGATGTCTTTTGCCTTGTCAATGTCAGACAAATGGACAAATGTAAATCTTGAACCAGGTTTTCTTTCAACTCTGTAGGGTTCTGCATCATGTCAGTGCTCAGTATTTTTTTGGAAACACTCTTGTACCATAAGCCACTATTGTTTTGTCTTTCCCTTTTAATATTAAAAAAAACCCTGGTCCTGTTTCTGGAAACGAAAGTCTGCTGGCATTATGTAAAGCTTACAAAACTGAAGAGGTGCACACAAAAGATTTAGCTCTGTAAAAACCGCTAAGTAACATGCTCTGAAGTCTCAACTCTTTTCAGTCTTCAGTTCCCTAAAAATCTTAAATACACCATTTTTTTTCCAACACACTGTTTTAAAAAACACTTAATTAAAGGTTACATTTTCAATGCGATCAACCAGTGCAGAAATTCAGGATGGCTTAATTTGCAGCACAGTGGCATTTAATATTTTATAGACAAACAAGGGATGTATGCTTTTACAAGGAGCTCTTTTTCAGTTGAGAATTCCATAGGGTTATGATTACTTTTTACTACTCAAAGCTGCATACATAATGAATGGAAAAATGCTAAGCACAGTTTACACCATTAGTTTAACTATCTGCGCTGCCATTCATTCCACTCACTTAGCCTGCAGCTGAAGTCAACAGCGTTGATCTAAACCAACAGGAAACAGAGTGCAACCTACTAAACTTTGACCTGAGGTGTCACTGCATGTATAAATTTGATGCTCAGTCCCACCACAACTCAGGTGTTTTACAGTTACAAACAAGTCTTTCATACTGGGACAATTAGGAACATTACACAATCACAGGAACACCAACTGAGTATCAGAGGTAAAATTAAAATGTATAACCAAAGGGCAAGGCTTTCAGTAATAACAACCTTAATTCACTAGTTTAAAATTGCCATATCTAAAAGACCGCATGGAATGAAGAGTAAAACTAAGCTGTATACAAAATAATTTCTGATACACTAGAGAACAGCAAATCTGGCAGCAGTGTGATATGTTATAATCTCTCTAATTCCTTTCTTAATCTTTCAATTAATTAACACTTCTACACTTCCCATGGAATTTGTCTCTGCAATTTTCATCTGTTTGGACATATTCACACTCTTTACCTACAGGGTATATACTGTATACCTACAGTACTCAATGGAAGTTACTATCTTGATCATCATGAGAAAATTACCCCCAGTTGATGTCTGCCCTCCAGATGTAAATTTGTAAAAGTATTTGTAAATTATATAGTTACGGAAACTCAGCAAGGTGGAATAGGTCTGCATATTTTGGAAAAAAGAAAATGCTTTAAGTCTTACAAGGATGTTTCTATTATCTATTCCATTTGCCTGCGTTTTTTTAAAACTGCTGGAGGGGGTTGAGTACCTCAAGAGATGAGAGATTTTGTAATTACTGTTTAATGTATTTTTTCAGAGGAGTGATAGCCGAAATTGTCATATACCTCACATCTTCTGTTTTACTTCAATCAATTTATATTATGAGGTTGAAGATTCCCTTGACATTCAATGTTTTTAAATCAAGTAATCCTTAATTACCACCAATCTCTGATTAATTGTGTCAAAATACAATTATCATTTTTTTCAGAATCAGTGGATTATATATTCTGTAAATATATAAGTAAGCTATTTTCCTTACTCAGTTCCTATTTCAAAATTATTTAAACAAAAATGTTTTTTCCTGTTACACATTAGGTTCAGAATAAAGTTTGTTCTGTACAATTTACATAAAGCAAACCCGGAATGCAATTGCTTCTTTTTCTATCCTAAACTTCCTGAAGTATTTGAATCATTGGGAGCTGTTCATCTTGACATTTTAAGTGAAGGACATGTAAATTTGACTTTAAAGGACAAAAATATAATCAGATATAATCATCTCTAATTAAGCAAATGTCAAATAATTCATGAACTGACTAGAAGCCCCAATAATGGATACTGGGCACTAAAATAAATGTATCACTCTATTTATGTGTACAAGGATGTAGGTATATCATTTTTTGTGGACTTTAGATACTGATTAGATGATCATGCACAACTCGTCTTGTGACTTTGTTGCTTAACCACTAAATTAGATAATCAGTGAGAGAGGTGACTGGGCAGAGGTCATAAGGTAATTTTTCTTGTTAACTGTCAAAACCTTGAGTAAGTGAAGAACGATGTACAGAAAAAAGAGAGCAGGTTTGGCTAGGACCGCTGTCTGGAATGTTTACAGCCAATGAAAGAGTGTGGCAGGTTCAGACAAGATAAAACGGAAGATGATCATATTAAAACAAGGAAATGCTGTGAGAGGGCCTAACTGTGACATTAATGTCATGGAAGCCCTACTCACCATAGCTGAACTGCCAGTGAACATGTACAGTATGTGATGAGCTGGAACATCAATTGGCATCCAAGGCTCAGAGATAAGTGAACAGGCACATCTTTGTCCACTATTTTTGAGAGGAAATTTGACAGAACCACACAAGATGGGATCTGCAATACGGTACAAAGCACGCATTACAGCTGTATGGCTTGTATTGCTTCCAACAAGGACACCATATGTTACTAGTTTGTGACTTTCACATGAGTCTCCTCATTGTTCATGTTTGTTGATGGCAATATAGTACTATTCTTCTGATGCTGAGTATACTGTATGTTCACCAAATTTAAATATCCTGGTTGCAGACCCTATTGTGCTTAACAACAAATCTTCTACAATTAGAATGCTTTAATAGGTTCACAGTATGGTGTGTGGCTTTTGGTTAGATGGGTATGTTAAAGGATTATGTCAATTTCCCTCACGGGATCAATAAAGTATCTATCACCTAACATCAAAATGCCATTACTTACATCAGTTTTCCTTCCTACTTTGATATCTTTCATTGGTTTTGGAGTAGAATGTTAAATAATTTCTAAATATTATTCTTTTCAAGAAAAATGCAGTACTTCTTGAAAAATTCCACTACAGAGAAACACCTGCCTGGTGCTAATCAATGTCTAGTGATGGCTTTCACTCTGGCAAGACAATTCAAAAATGTAGGCCAGAAAAGAAATTAAGTTCAAGAAATTGACCCGATTTTCTCAGGTCACTGTATAAGGTGGTACTACCTGAATTAGTGTTGCTATTGCGTCATAGGTCTTGACATCTGACAGTGAAAGATAGTCTACAAGTCAAAGAAAACTAGGAATACAACCATGTCATTACACCATTCACAGTGCTGCTGAAATGAGGAATGGAATATCTTGTTTAAAACTCAAACTACCCAACACAAGGGTAGGCAAACCATGATGCAAGGGCCAAATCCAACCCCCTGGGCAGTCTGTTCCACCCCAGGTGACATTACAGAATCGTTCATATTCAGCAGTGGTTTCAATTATAGCTGGCGAAAGCCTACAATATTTGTTCCTGCAATAAATTACACACGCACTAGATGGCACACTGCCAATACGTCAAACCTTTTCATGGAGAGGTCAGGGTCACCATTGTGTGATTTTGTTCAAAACGAAATCTGAACGCCTTTCTAAATATGAATTGGGAAAAGAACTGGGAAGTTGGGAGCCCTGGTGAATTCCTTGATGTTGGGTTTTCAACAACAAAAAAAAACAGTCATCGAAGTATTTTTCGACAATAACCCTTTAATTTTAAAAATAAAGGTTATGATAAAGCTGAACTGGAACTAGGGCCCAGAACTACATATTTTATATTGAAGCACATTTTGCACATTAAAATTTATGAGCTCAGAAGCCACTGTAGTCCTCTGGGCACTGGTTGGTGTACCTGGCTTTGATAATGCTTAAGTAAGAAGTCTTCAGAAGAGCAATTTCTACGAGGGTAGTGTCTGGATTCCTAGAGTTTTTGAACTTTAATTCATGTACAGTATAAGAGGGTTCACTAGTACTTAGTTTCCTTCAGAAGGTGCTTGTGTAACTTGAAGTTACAGTGCTCCTGGTAACACCTGGTCTTTTGGCATAGCCTGTAAGAGAAGTGGTGCACTGTAGCTCTGAAGCCAGAGAGCCCACACCTGGGAACGATTGAGGCTAGGAGGGCTCAGAACTGGGCCCATTATGCATGTTTCTACAGTATTGATATATTGCTTACTGGTCTTATAACACATAATGGGCCATTAAAGACAAATAGTTTGTAATAATTTCATTTCCACAATGAGATTTAGAGACTCCTTGATATGCCATTTCGATTACTTCAGGTGAAATATGACAGAGAATGCTCTTCTATTCAGAAAAAAAATATTTCAAATGTCATTGCTTGAATTAATGGCTAAATGTTTTAAATTTGAAAAATGTCCTTAGAATTTTTGTCATTGAAAATAAAAATGCTGGACAGAAAAGAACTATAAAACTGTTTCATAGAATACAAGCAAGTGTTTTCATACCACTGAAAAACTGTTTACTTTTGTCTCCTTTAAAGGAAATTCAAAAGAGCATTAAAATGGTGGCTACAAAAAACATTAAAAATAAGGAATATCTTGTTTATAGGGTTGTTTGCACCACTCAAACAAGATACACTATAATACTACATTATGTACATGGCTCTCTCTGCTTTCTCCCCAAATTAATTTTGTTAAGTAAAAAACTATACTTACCTTTGTTATTATACACATCTAGGTAGTTGGGTGCTGAGAAAATGGTGATTAGTGAGGGGAAGCCTGTTGTTTGACTCTTCCTGTACATACGATATCTGGAGAATAGAGAGGGTAATCACACAGGGGTCAGATCAATTACCAATGCAACAAATTGTTGAAAATCTCCCAGCTTTATTCATTAGTTTATTCTATGAGAAATTCCCACTTTAATTGCAAGGTTTTTCTATATGTGAAACTTTGAAGCTCATAAATAATAGATTAAAAAAATCAATGAAGATCCAGAACTGAAAATAACCTCTTAAATAATGCTATATCATTTGCACTTAAGATTACTGTGAAACCTAAGAATCAATATGAAATCTTTATGCACAAAACACTTCTGAAATCTTTTCAAGATCAAGCTACCTGATTACAAATCTTAATTAAAAAAACGTTTTAGCTGACCTACAGTTATATTACTTTGGTTGCTAGTGTGAAAACTTTATTAAAACTGCATGGCTACTGATCACTTCAGGCTACTTAAAATAGTCAATATAAACATCACATTAACTGTACTTTTGAAGTACATGCAAGAGACTACATTAAGTCCCTCATTCTTGGGCTGAAAAACAAATCATTCAAGTCACCTCTTTCAGAAAGAATGCCATTAAAATTCACATTACAACATACTGAAGAGCTGTCTCCAATTCCCCTTGTATAATCTGTCCATTTGGAGGAAATAACAGCATAAACAACAGTTTGGAAAGGTAGGTTAACACTTTGATGCAGATTAATGAGTGTAGAGAGATTTTAAAGCTGGGAAGGAAAAATGAGGTATGCTTATTCCCTGCAATTATAAAGCACCCCACAGACCATTTTGCCTTTAGTTACCGTCTCTGGTATGTCTTTCTAGTATATATGCCACACATTGCAGTTTTAGATTTGTTTTGGTATTTTTCTATTAATTGCTGGACTTAATTTGAGTCACATAATATAGACATGAAGGTCATCCTCCAGTCACACTGACTATAGCTGTTGCTGCTGATGTTTTGATGCAAGACATCTTTAGCAACCTAGTTTTTGAAGAACTGAATAAATCAACCAATTAATTGGACAAAATGGATGAAGACATCTAAGGCAAAGGAAAAATAATGAACTTTCTGTATTCAGTAGACATGTTTGATGACCAGATCCCTTCCCTCATGTTCCCTCAATCTGAAATAAATTCTAACAAAGTGTAGCTCTTCAAACAGTGTTTTCATTCCTGGTCCTAAATGGCTAGTGTGTGTGCCATGTATTCTAGGTCTCTTTAAAGCAAAAGCGTCTGAAAAGCTGGAAGAAACTGCTATATTAGTCCAACTGTCAGTAAATAACTGATTTAGCTCATTTGGTGTTGATTTGGCATGAAAACACACCAGTGATACAGAATCAGGATTGGACATCGTTATTTGAAAATACATTTCTCAATTTGACTGTGTGCTACCGCTTTATGTTTTTTTTTCATCTTTATGTAGAATTATTTTTATATTACTGGTTTTAGCATTATGATAAATCTTATCTCAAAACAATTGACAGGAGTTAGTGTTGACTGGAACTCCTTTTTTTTCATAGAATAGTGTCCTGATCACAATACTGGGGTTTAGGACCCACACAGACCCACAGACCACAGGGTGAGCACACTAACAGCTCTTTCAGTAGCAACCTTAGCTTTCCCAGGAGGTCTTTCATCCAGGTACTGGCCAGGCTTACAACTGCCTAGCTTCAGCAGGCTAATATAGCTGCAGGCTATATTATATCAATGATTTAACCTCACGATACTGTACATAAGATAAAATCACTTTGGGTAAATAAAGGTTAAAAGTCCCAAAGGAAAGGGGAATGCTGTTGACATCCCAAAAGACTAATGAAGATGACAGAAGTAGTGTCCTGAGTTCCAGAAGACTCAAGAAGGTGGGGGGAGATTCTGGTTGTATTCCAAAGGTGGTGAAGGTGAGGGAGGAAAAGCATCTTATGATCTAGAAGGTTTTATACCTGGTTATAGTAGATATGGCAACTGAACAAAGGAGAATGCACCTTTTACATGTAATTGCACTATACACAGTGAGGAGGCTGTGAGGTTTTCTGTGAGCAAAGGTTTGTGGGATGCCACAGTGGGTAGACCCTTGGGTTGTATGAATACTCTTTGGATCAGCTACCAGGGGAATAGAGCCCTGGACACAGTGCGTTGCTGAGAACTTTCCCTGGGAGAAAACATGGCTACTGATAATCCCAGAGGAGACTTATGCAAAAGTGAAAACACCTGGTGTTTTAGAAATATGGACTGATGATTATGAATACAGTAGAGACATTACACAATTACGGACTAATGGTTACAGGTAATGACTGCGGTAATGGCTTATGGTAATGGGTCTGCTCTTGGTTTGGTTGAAGAGTGATCATGTAAGGGTTTATGGTTTACAGGTTTGGGTTATGGTCTCTGTACTCTGGTGTATAGGTGGTGTATTAGTCAGGGGTTAACACGTGGTTGACCAAACACCCTGTAGGACCCTGTGAAGCTTGGAGTATCACCAAGGCTGGGTGTCTTCTGGTCCTGAAGTGTGCATGCTATGGATTGTGGCAAAGTAAATATGGGTTACTGGCTCGAGAAACCAGCGAAACAAGAAAACTGAAGAGCAAAAACACCACAAATTTAATTCAAATAGCTAGGGAACCGTAAGTCACTCATGCTGGAGATGAGCAGCTACTCCACCACATTTCTGGGATTGTATTTAATTTACTATTGAATTTGTGCAAGGCTGTCAAACATATTGTTTTTATTTTATGGTGCAGTACCTTCAGTAATGTACCATGAAAGGTGCTATATAAAATAATGGTTATTTCTTGCACTCTGGGGTATTTAATAAATGACAATATGCTGGGCACAGCATCCTGACAATGATGCCACTCAAGAACACTGCAGGTGCTGTTATGAATACTGTTTTTTATATTTCACAGAACACAAAAAAAAGGTAGAACATAAAATTAATATTCATATAAAAATTGAGTGGTTAGTAGTAACATCTAAAGTCTTCTGAAATAGTGCTCAACAAGCTTTCACTCACCTTTAAAAATCCATCGGTATAATATTCTGCAAGCCAGTGAGAATCTCCTGGAATAAACAGTTTCTTGGCGCTAAATATGACACCCTTCTATTTTAGTAACTTTTTTCAGATATGTTTCATTGAATTAGATACTAAAAGTGTTAACTATGAATTAATTTATATTTCTTAATTTCTCCTAAAAACACCAAAAATATTCCAAAAATACATACCCAGCATCTTGAGCTTCATGGGCACGAATAACTGATAATAAATTATTGTGTTGTAAGAATTCACACACAGCAGGGTAACTACAAAACAAAAAGGAAAACATCTTAGTCAGTTAAACAATTTGTGCTAAGAATCCAATTCCCAGCTCCCACTGATTATAGCAAATCTTTCAATGACAATATTTTGCTTCATAATTATGTTCATTTTGTCAATGCTTTACTTTCTGGAAATTTTTATTAAATACATTTTGTTTATTAGTTTTAAGGACATTATCTTATATTTTAAGGAATGTTTCAATTTTAAAACCCTTGAAAAAACAATTTAATGGAAACATTTTCTAAACATTTTGCATTTATACCATTATACATACTATAGAGTGTTTACTATTGTCCCAGTCAAACGTCCTACAGAAAGGTTTTGAAAACAAAGGCAGAAAAAACGAGCAGCTGACACTGTGTTGTCTGAGATTGTGTGCGTTCCGTGCTTTACTCCAGTGTTTAGCACCATGACATCAACCGACCATCTTTATTTTTTTGTGTTTGTGGGTAATCACCTTTAGATTTGTCTTACCAAACCAGAAGAAGGGGAAACTGCCCAGCTTGTGAGACTGGTATGCAAACATGGAAGCCAAAATAAACTGTCAACAACTCAAGGCAATACATTTGCTGGAATTTTCCACCCTATAACCTACAGTATATACTATATGAAGAAATAGATCACGAGCTAGAGTGAACCAAGTAATTTTTAAATTGATTTCTGTATTACCATGAATGAATCACTGACAGTGGCATAGTAACAATCATTGTGGCAACCATCACAACAAACACAAAACTGCTATAATGTCACCAGTTTTGTACTTCGGTGTTCCTTTGCTCTTTAACACCACTGAGGAAACAATGTCTTCCTCATATTACAACTAAATATATGTTGTTGTTGTTGTCGTCACCAACAACAACAACAAAAAATAATAATAGTAGTAGTACAAAGTACTAAGCTTAAAGTGTGCTTTAAAAGATTTGGTGTCAAATTTGTCATTTTGAATCAAGGAATCCTTTGAAAAATTGCCAGGAAAAAAAGCCTCACATATGTTTTCTGAATAATTCACTGAAATAACTTCTTTCTTGCTGGTGGTGTTAGGATATAATGTTTTTTGGGAGCTGGGCAGGAATATGATATTGAATCTGTTTTGTTCTCAGTGTGTTTTGCCATGCAGTCCCATGTGATTCAGTACTTGTGCAGTATGCAGTTTTAATTCATATCAACATCATCTGTATGCATTTTTTAAAAAGCAATGGAATAAAAATAAACTAACAGTAAACAAATGTAATCGATTAACTGTTCCTCAAATAATGCAGATACTGTATAAACATTTAGCTGATACTACTAGTCACACATTTGACCCTCTACATAACTGGATGAAAAGCAAAAACATGATTTGTCCATATAATATAACAGCATTTTTAATGAGAAATAAATATTCTTAATTTTCCATTTATAGTACATCAGGGGAAAGAAACTAAACATAACTACAGAACAGGCAAAACTGTTTTTATTCTGTTTAGTATTGGAAATAAATGTTTCTTTTTTCACTATTTGTAATTTGTCACACATCAAATACTTCATAAATTCTACAGTTTCAACTATGTTTACATTTAAGAATAAATTTAATGGGATACATTATTATTTTTCATTAAACTCAATAATTTCAAGATTTTCAAATTACAGTATGTAAAATACTACTACAGGTATGAGTACTAATCGTAAAAATAACAATAGAATGTAACTATAACACATAATAACTAGAACAAATAATGTAACAATTTTACTTTAGACTCTACTTGGAAAGCCATTATGTACAGCTATTGTACAATAATGTGTAATTTTTAAAAGCAATTTACAATTTTGTCCATATTATTTATAGCATTTGTGGAAGCCTCTTGAAGGCTCTCATTTCAATAAGTGACAAAGGAGATGTTTCCATGGATATCGTTAGATTTCAGCAAACAGGATTGCAAATGATGGCATTAGCACCCACTCAGGATGAATTTAAGTATTATTAAGCACTGTACAATGCACAGAATGCGTTTATTTATCATTATGATAAAACCATAAGAAACCTATGAATAGTTTTATAAGAAAATGTTTGGGTAACACAAGATAACAGACAACCCCATCATTGCACAATAACACTAATATCATGTTAACATCAGGAAACCAGGACCTTCAATGTTATAAGAACACAAGAAAGGCAGATAATGAGTGAGTGCCATTTGGTTCATCTAGTTTGTGTGGTTGTTATCCATATCCACTGAGTCGACTTTGTCAACATCTTTGAGAATTCTGAATGCTTGAATCAGATCTCCTCGTAAGCGCTCTCCCTTGCAGAATAAAATGATCCAGTTCTTTTCGTCTGTCAATGTAGAACATTCCTTTGAGCCTGGGAATATAACTGGTCATTTCACACTGGACTGAGATTAGAGCAGCAACATTTCTTTGGGTAATATGGTAACTAAAATTGTTCACAATATTCTCAATGAGATCTGACCAGTATGTTGTACAATTTTGACTGAATGTTAACAAACTTGACAATTTTAACTCTTTTTCTGAAATTCAACAAGCAATCTTTTTTTATTTTAACCTTCCTACCCCACTCCTTTGCCTCATATTTCTGCTCCCTCCTTCAATTCTCTCTTCCCCCAATAACACCACAGGCAGAATACAATACTTTTTCTTCTTACTTGGTCTTTGGCCAGCATCGCTTGCTTGAGCCTAGGTAAGGTCACTAGCTGACTGTGACTGTCCTGTAGTGAAGCATTATTAGCTTTGAAGGTAGGGTGGGTTTTAGTTGTCCAGCTACCCTTTGAACTTCCAGAGAAACAATGAATACTTCCAAGCTTGAGAGCTAGCAAGCACCAGTCATGCCATTCTTACTCTATGGTGAATTGTGTTTACATGGACTGTATATTAAAAAACACTAAACACTATGCATGGTGAAGTCACGAAGAAATGCATCACTCTTCAATTTGGTGCCAACTCTCCCATGTAAAGAGATGAACTGCTGTGACAGCCGGGTGTGTCAAAGGAGTTTCTCATTTTCCCTGTAAGCTACAGGAGTTTGTGCCATAAAACTGAGTCCTAGTCTTAAAAATAGTTGACCACTCCAAACTGGGTGAGCATACAGTATAACAAATAGTTGGAGTTCCAAAAGAAATCAACTGAATTACTAAATAATTACTGAATTATTTAAAAACAAATCTTGAAATGACTCAGCTTTTCAATTTATGTGGTGTATGTGTATAGCTGTCAAAGAGCATGTTGAAATTTAGACAAAAAAAA